ATGAACAGAGCTTCCGTTTTGATAAATAGCAGCAAGCGATTGTTGAATTGCCTTGAACAACGAATTATTCACTCCGATCCAACACCAGCCGGTCCTATTGTCTATGCTGAAAATAATGCTCAAGAAGCTATAGATGAAGCTAACGAAAAATACAGACAAACCGGCCAAAATGTTGGAGAAAAGATGCAGAAGGGTTATGAAAAGGTTGGCGTTATTTGAAAACTATCCTTATCGTCTATTTTATATTTCTAACACGCATTCACTCATCTATTTTTAGTTAACTGAAGAGAACAAAGATCGAGAGAATGTCAAAGGAGTGTCGGACTATGGCAACGATGACGTTAGTTTCTTTGCAGATTTTATGAAAATTTTGGATATTTGTACATCATTAAGTACATTCCTATCAAATTATAGGTTAGCCAAACTGGAAAAACACAATCGGGTGAATTCCTATCCCGTAGCACTGATGTTGAGAAGGGAGCTCATCAACAGGATAAGGTGAGCGAAGTACACGAGAGCTATTGTGATTTAGAAACTCTATTTCGTCAAGTTTTAGAAAAATGCGCAGGACTCCACTGCACGAGAGATTAAGGATGCCGATGAGCTAAAGCGAGAGAAGGTAATGTTTATCCTTTTTGCTTAAAAATAGGTTATTGAACAGAAACATTGCAGGGCAAAGTCTCTAAAGTCGACAAAAGAACAGGGGATACTTCGGAAGCTATAAAACCGATAAAGTAGAGAAAACTACGGATTCTTCGGATTATCAGTGTTATTGTTAAATCTCTATGAATATTTGTCAGACAAAGGTTTGTTGTGGTTGCTTGAGAGCCAGAACTGCTCATTGTACATATTTTATAGAAGTAATAATCTTGAATAAAGTTTTATAAAAAGAATTGAGTTTGTTTGTGAATTTTATTTGAATTTAGTTGTTCACTTGCTTGGAATACAGCGGCACAATGAATGCACGTACAAGAGATAGTAGTAGCTTTCTCTGCATAGTGCAAAAATGCT